CCCCAAAACCCCAAAACCCCAAAACCCCAAAACCCCTACCCAAATTTCTTAGATTGAAATTTTCCTAAGCAAATTTAGATCTTACTTCTCATGTCAAGCACACTAAACTTTTTAGGCTCTGGGCCAATGTAGTTAGAGGCTGGTCTGATCAGCTTGTTTCTAGACCTCTGCTCGATTATGTGTGCAGCCCATCCTGATGTTCTCGAAACAACAAAAATAGGAGTGAAGAAATCGACTGGTAGTCCGAGTTGATAGTAAGCAGAAGCACTGTAAAAGTCAAGATTTGGGTGCATCTTCTTCTCAGACATCATGATATTTTCAATACGCTCCGAGATCTCAAACAAATCCGGTCTTCCTTGATCGGTCTTTGTAAGTTTTCTAGAGTATTCTTTAATAATGTCTGATCTTGGGTCTCCGTTTTTGTAGATTCTATGACCAAATCCCATCACTAGCTTCTTTTGAGAGTACATTTCATACAATTTAGCTTCAGCCTCTTCCTTAGTTTTAAACTGCTTGATGAATCTAATGGCAGCTTCATTAGCTCCTCCATGAAGAGGACCTCTGAGAGTCCCAATAGCAGATGTGATTCCTGAGTAAAAATCTGAGAGTGTAGAAGCAGTAACTCTTGCATTGTAAGCGCTGGCATTGAAGTCATGTTCAGCATAAAGAATAAGAGACACTTCCATTGTCTTTACTAACAGCTCTTCAGGTTCCTTTCCATCATTCTTAAGAAGTCTTATAATATTCTTGGCGATAGTATCAGACTTGTGAGTATCTACTTCAATTCTCTTCCCGCTTTTATGAAAATGATACCAATAGAAGAGGCATGGAGCAAAGATTGCAGAAAGTCTGATAGAGATTTTGTACTGATCATTTTTTTCACTTTCTGGCTCAATAGTTCCTAGGAAAGAAGCTACTGTTCTCATAAGATCCATTGGGTGGGAATCTTTTGGAACACATTCAATAACTTCAGCAAGAGTTGCAGGAATATACCTATTTTCAGCTATCTGCTCTTGAAAGTATGTCAATTGATCCTTTGTAGGAAGTTCTTTATAGAGTAAAAGATATAAGACTTCTTCAAAAATACACCCGTTTGCGAGATCCTCAATATTATATCCTCTATAATTGAGTCCTTTCCCGATTCCAACAGTTGAGATCTCTGAATCATCAGCGACGACTCCTATAAGCCCTCTGGCTATAACTTTCTTTGGCTTTTGTGATTCCATATTGGAAAATAATTATATACGTCATTAGATTTTCTGCAAAATATCTCAGTGGAGGGGTTTTGGGGTTTTGGGGTTTTGGGGTTTTGGGG